CATTATACTAATACTAATAATAATAATAATAATAAGTATTAATAATAATAAAAATATTTTATAATTTAAATTATTTTAAATTATAAAATACTAACCGTTTAATAATATAAACCTCTAATATTGAGGGTTTTCTTCCATTAAACGGTCTTTAATTTATAATATGAAACACTTTGAACAATAAAATATATACTCCTAGTAATAATGTCTATTAATGAAGGGATAATGTTGTATTTTAGAGAATGATTTAATAGATAAGAATTTAAATTTTTATATTAAAAATCTTTCATTTGAATTATGGGATGGATGAGGAAAGGTTTGAGAATGAGAGGATATTTACTTGTATGGTCTATGAAATGGAAAAAAAAAAGGGTAATATTTGTTTTTTTATTTTTACTCAAAGTTTTAGGGATTTTAATGATTTTTTTCAATCAAAGGACTGCCTTGGGCAATTTAAACAAGTTTAGGGGTTTTATGGGCTTTATGGTGAAATAGTGCTCTCTCTATATAATGCGCTGATGTTAAGTCGTTGCTGTTTGCTCTTCTCATTCAACCGTCCAACCAAAGTTCCTTCGTTTTCTTGAGCTTGCAGGGCTTTCCCTTGCAGCCGGTTGGGTGATTTTGCATTTTTTTTTTAGGGTGCGGCTTTAGATCTATCTCTTCCGTTCTTCATTTGGTTGTTTTTGGCACTTTAGATCAGGAAGTATCTCGTCTTCTTCTCCTTTATCACGACGCCGTTTGTTTTTTGTATTCACCATTTCCGATTCTGGTGTTTTTTTTTTTTTAATGTGCAGAGTTACAATGGCAATGGCAAAGGCTAAGGAATTGCTGGATGATTTGATTAGAGACATAATTTCTCAATTACCTGATACGAATAGTCTTTATTGTTATTAGATAATTATTGAAGAAATCAAGAGGAGAGAGCCCAAACTCATTATTCTCAGCAATCGCACCAATTACAACTCTACTCTGAAGATCTGAATTCACCAGATTGCTTGGAAGGCACCCTTCCTCGGATGGAATTTTGGACGGAACCACAGTAATTCTAAGAGGTTCATGCAATGGCTTGATTCTCTTTACCACATATTTCAGCATCGTTCTGCGGAACAAATTCCATGGAGATTATCGAGTAATTACCCAAAGGCCTAACTATATAATCCCAAAATCTTATTCCAAAGCTCGGAAATTTCTTCTGTTTGGATTCGGTTATAATCCTGGAAATAACGATTACAAAGTCGTGGAAATCATGTGCTTTTACCGAGAAAATGGTACTAGCGGTAGCGGACATGATATCAGGGTTTATAGCTTCAGAAAAAATACCTGGCAAAGCCCTCAAAGGGCAAGCAGAAGTTCTGTTCCTTTAAGGAAAAGAACATGTGATATTTCTGAGACCATATCTCCAATTTGAACTCTTCCTGTGCTCTCAATTCCCCCTTAAATGCCCTTCTTTGTTAGAGAGCTTGGCAACAAGAAGTTCTGCAATCAAGCAACTCATCATGAATGCAAGAAAATGGTTTGTATTTAATAAGGAGCTTACGTAGGCAAAATTATTTACCTGTTTCTCTTCCTAGCTGCTTATCAATCGAGTACTGGAGCATGGATGGGACAAGTATGCACACATCAGACACTTTCAGAACTTCCCACGTTGGACTATGGATCTAACTTCTTTTGTAAAAGATCTTGAATATGCTTTTAAGATTCATTCTATATTTTCACTCTAACTCTTGCTCCAAGAAACTTTTTGTGACGAACTATGGTTGTATGATGGGAATTTCTCTCTATTTGCAAACTTGTCAATTAATCATATTATGATTTTTTATTAAGTTAAATCATTATAATTTACTAAATTAATAATCTGAAGCCTTAAGAATTAAA